ATCCATCCATGTTGTTGCAAATGGCATTATTTCATTCATTTTTATGGCTGAGTAATATTTCATTGTATATATAAAGAGAGCATATCTTTATTCATCTGCTAATGGACACTTAGGTTGCTTCCACATCTTGGTTATTGTACATAATGCTGCTAAGAACATTGGAGTGCATGTATATTTTAGAATTACTGGTTTCATTTTCTTCAGCTATATCCCCAGAAGTGAAATTGCTGGTAGTTCTATTTTTAGTGTTTTGTGGAACCACCTTACTGTTTTCCATAGTGGCTGCACTAATTTACATTCCCACCAACAGTGTACAAGTGTTCCCTTTTCTCCACATCCTTGCCAACATTTGTTATTTGTAGACATTCACACATTCTGGCAGGTGTGAAGTGATATCTCATTGTGGTTTTGATTTGCAGTTCTCTGATCATTAGTGATATTGAGCATTTTTTCATGTGCTTGTTGGTCATCAGTACATCTTCTTTGGAAAAATTTCTATTCAGGTCTTCTGTCCATTTTTAAATTGAGTTGTTTGGTTTTTTTGGTATTGAGTTATATGAGCTGTTTATATATTTTGGATATTAATCTCTTATTGGTCATATCGTTTGCAAATATTTTCTCCCATTCAGTATGTTGTCTTTACATTTTGTCAATGGTTTCCTTTGCTTTTCAAAGCTTTTAAGTTTAATGAGGTCCCAACCAAAAAAAGTATTGCCATGATTTATGTCAAAGACTGTTCTGCCTCTGTTCTCTTCTAAGAGTTTTATGGTTTCCAGTCCTACATTTAGATCTTTAATACATTTTGAGTTTATTTTTGTATATGATGTGAGAAAATATTCTAATCTCATTATTTTACATGTAGCTGTCCAGTTTTCCCAGCACCACTTATTGAAGAGACTATCTTTTCTCCATTGTATATTCTTGTCACTTTTGCCACATATTAATTAAACATAAGTGTGTGGCTGTATTTCTGAGTTCTCCATTCTGTTGCATTAATCTATGTGTCTGTTTCTGTTCCAGTATTATGCTGTTTTAATTTTTGTAGCTTTGTGGTATAGTTTGAAGTCAGGGAGCATGATACCTCCAGCTTTGTTCTTTCTTCTCAAGATTGCCTCGGCAATTTGGGGTCTTTTATGGTTGCATATAAATTTTAGGGTTATTTGTTCTAGTTCTGTGAAAAATGTCATATTTAATAGGGGTTGCAAACAATCTGTAGATCCTTTGGGCAGAATTTTAACAATACTAATTCTTCCAATCCAAGAACAAAGGATATCTTAGTTTGCATCACAGGGGATCTCTCATTGAGACACACGAGCTCAGTAGTTGCAGAGCACAGGCTTAGTTCCTCCACGGCATGTGGGATCTTAGTTCCCCAACCAGGGACCGAACCTGCACCCTCTGCATTGGAGGGTGGATTCTTTACCATTGGACCACCAGTGGAGTCCCTATCTTTCAATTTTTAAATCACCTTCAGTTTCCTTCATCAGTGCTTTATGATTTTCAGAATATTGATTTTTCACCTCCTTGGGTAAAATTTTTGCTAGGTATTTTATTCTATTTGATGTGATTTTAAACAGGATTGTTTTCTTGCTTTCTCTTTCTGATATTTTATTGTTAGTGTAAAGAAATGCAACAGATTTCTATGTATTAATCTTATATCACAAAACTTGGCTGAATTCATTTATTAGTCCTAATAGTTTTGGGTGGAGATTTTAGGGTTTTCTATGTATTGTATTATATCATACAATATACTTCCTTCCAATTTTACTTCTTCCTTTTCCATTTGGATGCCTTTTATTTATTTTTCTTGTCTGATTGCTGTGCTAGGCTTCACCTCTGCTCAATGGCCATCACACCATATCCAGGGTGAGAGTGGGTCCCAAGTTGCTGGAGTAGAAGCCCTGACTGTTGGGTTTGAGCTGGCTCTGTTCCCTTTAAGTGTGTGCTCTCCCCTCTCCCAGAACTGGCATCTTCAACCCAGAGGGGAGTAGTGCTGGAGCAAGAGGGGCTGGTGCAAGTGCTCAGCATGGATCTGGGCATGGACAGTGGCTGCCCTGGTCACATTCAGTGACCTGGATGGCTTCTGATGTGCTGCTGCCTGTTTAAGCACTAGTAGTGACTGTCCCCCGCCCTGCTCAGATGCTACTCCAGGTCTGAGTTGCCTTTATCCCTCACAGCTGAGCTCTCCCCTCAGCCACTGCCACTCTTGTCCTGGTCATATTGTAGAGCTGTGTCATGAAACAGGCGGGGCCAGAGAAGATGCTTAGCTCAGGCAGGCGCATTCTCCAGAGAGGCTGCGGGAAACCTGCAGTTTCAATCTGCCCCCCTACCCTGTTAAAGGAATAAGCAAACATGTGCGTGCTTCTCATGAGTGGGGTACAGGCTTCCCTCAGCCCGTCTGTTAGTCACTGCCCCTCCAACAAAGCAAGGGGACTTGTCTTACCTGTGTCTGAGCCCAGGGCGGTGGTGCCCAGTATGTGGCTTGAACTGCTCACTCCCCAGGGAGAATCTCCACCCAAGCAATGTTCCTCTTCTTCTGAGTCCCCTCCCAGGGGCACAGTTCACAACCTGATTCCTTCTCCTCCCTTTCTACCCGATTCCATGTGTTCCTTTGTTATAGCCCTGGTTGTACAGGAATCTTTCTTCCAGTCTCTGGTTAGTTTTTGTTCCACAGGTAGATGTATGATTGATACATTCATGGGGGGAGGTGAGTTCTACATCTTTCTACTCGGCCATCTTGGTCTCCTCTCAGGAACTACTTAGTTTTATTTGCTAATATTTTATTTTGGATTTTGAACTTTATTAATAAATGAGATTGGTTTATAGATTTCCTTGTTTGTGATCTTTGTCATTCCTTTGGTATAAATGTTTTACTTGCTTTATTAAATGCACTTAGGGACTTTTCCCCTTCTCTATGATCTGAAACAATTTAAATAACATTGGAATTATATGTTCTCTAAAGATTTTATAGAATTCTCCCAGGAAAACGTTTGAAGAAACAAAAGCAACTTTTGGACTACTTTATTTATTTTTTGGAAATCTATCTGCCTAGATTTTTTTTTCTAATCTTTTGGTTAAGTTTTGGTAAGTTATATTTTTCAAAATATTCTTTATGTTATTCAGGTTTTCAAAGTTATTTGCATAGAATTAAACAAACAAACAAATGAAAACCCCCAAACCTCATGATTTTTTAAATTTCCCCTTTTTCTGTGCATCTACCTTACCATTGTGGTCTGAAAGTTTTATAAGCTCATTTCCATGAACTGAAAGATTAAATTATTTTTATTTCCAGTTTTTGAAAGAAAAAATTCCAGTAAAATGTTAAGCTTCTGGACTTTATTTAATTCTTGCCACAAGAATCTATCTATCTATCTGCATGATAGATTTATTCAGATGACAATTCTATCCTCTTATGAATATTAAAGTCTACTTTAACTGGATTTAAATGAAATTCTTTCCTAGAAGGACATCTTGGTGATGATGTACTGAGTATTTTAACCGTTCAAAAATGGTCACAAGCTCTTTACAATCCCTCCAGAGAGTGCATAAGAAGACATAACTCATTCTATAAACAATACTTTGACAGTGTGAAAATGGCCCTTATGCATTGAAGAATTAGTTCAATTAATACCAGTCTTCAATTAAGTACGAAATTTTACTTTAAAATCCAGCTAGTGTTCACTTTTGATTGTTTATTTCATAACAGTTGCTGTCTTTTAAATGAATTCAGCAAGCTGCCAGCCTGTTCCTCACGTTAATTTTTTCAAGCATTTGATATGTTGCCAGAGCATGTTCTGCCATTACAAAATCATTCAGTAACAGGTTTTCAACAACCAGTTTCTAAGAAGGGAGAAAGAAGGGAAGGGAGAAAAAGAAAGAGGGAGAGAGAGAATGACAAACCAAGGACAAATCCTATGAAATCCCTTCTGTTCCCATTTTTTTATTGTTTCTTGCCTTATTTTGCCATCCCAGTAACATTCGTTAAGAATGTGATAATACATTAAAGGCTACTATATCTTAATATCACCTCAATAACAACTTTTCATAAATTCTTCAATTTTAACTTATGACTCTTAAGGAAGGATAGATGTCCACAGCAGCAAAATTGACAGAGATGCCCTTTAAAAGAACCAGGAACGACATCTTCAGTGCACTGGTCACGTCAGCTCTTTTCTGAGCACAATGATCAGGGATACAAAGCAATGACAGGAATTGTTACTGACTTTCTCAGTGAACTTTTCAGGCTGAAGGTCATTCTATGGAAGATGCAGAAATGATGGAAAGTTAGCAATTATTTTAGCTTCACGGTTAGATTATCTGTGGTCTTGTTTAAATTGATCATAGTTATTGTTTTCTTCATTAGGCAATCAAAGCAAGAAAGAAAATGTTCCTTAACCAATAGAAGCAGATAAAATATTTTCCAAACCTTCTTTTGGAAGAATATACTGAAAAGAAGAAGCTAATTTACAAATAAATGGGACTAAATACAACTTGTAATTGTTAGCCGATAGATGCCCTGGCTTCGGCCCTGATGGGCAGGTTGGTGGGTTTCTTCATTAGATTTCACCAAGAAAAATTTATATCTTGCCTACTGTGAAGAGATGAGAGTGTAGGAAATAAATGATGAAAAAAAACCAATTTTCTTTTTTTTTCTCTTAAATGTTAGTAGTTAGATAATTTTTTTTCTTTTAAATGTTAGTAGTTAGACAATTACACTTAAATATTGACTGGCTCTTTTACATGCACAAAAAGGACAGTATTATACTTAAATGTCAATCTCATCCTCTGAACTATGTCTTTTTATGAATAATTCTTTCCCCTCATTTTTAGAAGTTTAGGAATTTGCTCCCAAATTTATATTACTAAGGGTTTTACATTAATTAATGATTTACATTATTTTTAATCATTTGTATCCCTGTGAGAATCTGACAAAATCTTGTCAGATTTTACAGGTGACTATTATTCAATAATGACAAAAATAGAAATGATATCCTCAAGAGGTTTATAATTAATTTCAGTAGTGTTTTCAGCTCAGTTCCCTGCATCTCAGTAACCTCATCGACAAAATAAAAAGATTTGGATGAATAATTTTGAGGAATAATTCTGTTCCCAAAATATCCTTCTTATATTTATATAGTTTAAATAGACTATTTTTTTCTTCTTTAACTTGGTAGCCCACTTTAATTGGCACCTGAAGCAAGATTTTCTTTCAATGTTTATGATGTTTCACTATCAACTTTTTCTGTAATTATATTCCCACGTTTTATTTTACTTTTTAAAATTGTGATATAATTGACATATAAGTTTATATTAGTTGCAGGTATACAACATAATGATTTGATGTATGTGTTTATTGAAAAATGATCACCACAATAGGTTTAGCTAACATCCATTGGCACACAGTTATAATTTTTTTTTCCTGTGATAAAAACTTTTAAGATCTACTCTCTTAGCAACTTTCAAATACAAAACGCCTATTATTACCTGTAGCCCCAGATTTTAAAGGACACTATCTATTCCCATCTTTTTGGCCATAGAGGATAGTTCCTTTTCATGATCCATAAGTTGGCAAACCACTGATGAATTTTGATCATTTATGCAAAGTGTGTCTCTCTCTCCATTGAGGTAAAGTTCATTTACTCACATCTGACATTTGTCACAGAAGAGACATCCGTGCTTCAGAAGGTCCAGAGAGCATCCAAAGTGTTCATAGTGATGTGGAGATGGCTGTCACGCAAACAGACAATGACGTTTAGGAATCAGTCTGGAAAGATGATTTACTGAGTAGCTAAATTTGATAATTTGTTAAAAATTAAAAAACTAAAGTCAATAATCACAGGAAGAGGGCACAAGAGATAAGTATAACCATTCAGTGATAATAGTGTGATACTGAGAGGAAACGTTTTCACTGTTACTCCATGAAGTGCACACTTATCTAGTTTTCATTTCCATGGCTGGAGCTCCCAGGGATCAAGCCAGTTACAGTAGAAGTCGAAGCCAACACTGAAACTCAAAAAAGTAAACGTAGGGAAACTAAAAGGAAGAATTACAATACCCAACCTAGACTAGTACTTTACTTGCAAAATGTGGCAAGTATTGTAGTCTGCCCCCCTGTATTTGTTGTCCCTTTCTTTCATGGTAATTGAAACAAATTACCAAAATGGAAACCTACATTTTCTTTCTGTTGGGCAAATGGTTTCGGGCATTAAAACTGGGTTTCCCAGCCTTCCTTGCCGTTTGGTGTGGTCATGTGATTATGTTCTTAGGTGAGATGGGAGTGGAAGTTGGCTCTGGCAGCTTCTCTAATCCTCCTTATGAATAAGCTCGGGCACACCTGCCGCTGCTTGTCTCTTCCTCCTTCCTACTGCCTGGGACACAGCTGTGATGGCTGTACCACGAAGATACAGGCACACACGATGGAAGTAGCCTAGTGAGCGGGCAAAGGCTGGGTCACCGTGGATTAGTGCTGCCATATCAACCCTGCATTGTACACCTCTGGACTTTACATGAAAGGTATAAAATTTTATCTTGTTTAAGCCATTGGTATTCTGGGACTCTGCAACATGTAGTGAAACCCAATCTCAACAAATATGTATGGCAAGTCAAAATATAATGAAATTTTGGGAATTCCCTGGCTGTTCAGTGGTTAGGATTCCACGCTTTCACTGCACAGGGCACAGGTTCGATCCCTGGTTGGGGAACTAAGATCCCACAAGCCACACGGCACAGCCAGAAAGAGAAAGAGAAAAGAAAAAAGTATACATACGATGAAATTTTGTAAAAGGTTTATGGGTGTGACAGATCAAACATGGGCTCTGAAAGTATGAGAAAGAGTTCTAGTATGTTCCTTATGTGCAGGTTGAGAGCCAGAATCTCAGGTGTCATCCCATAAACCATCCCTGTAGTCTTAATTGGGGCCTAATCCTATTCTGGTTGATCATAGATCTGATTTACAGTATTAATTCCTATTAACTTCTGGGGGTTTTATGCAGAACATCCTAATAGCTAAGACTAATGCCCCAAAATATTTGTAGGTCATTCTAATCAAGTCTTCTCCATACTTAGCTGAGAACATGTCTCTTTTCCAGGTGATCCTATATGTATAAAACATCTGTGAAAGACTGCTTCTCCTGGGTATGGGGGTAAAAATTTGACTCATGTGTTTGATTGATTAAACCATTTTAACTCAGCGTTGCACTGACTGAATGAATGTTAGCAGTAGATGTTCTACTGTAGTCTCAGGGATAAATATTCAGAAGGTAATGGAATTTTCCACCACTTCTGTATCAGTTAGGATCTGTCCAGCTCTTACTGTTGCCATTGTTCTGCATTTCCTAAATGTATCAGAGACCTCTGTCATTTATATTGATTTCCTTTGTTCACCTGAGGAATTTTGACAGAAACAAAAATAGTCTACAAACATTTAAAAACTCTCTTCCTCGAAATCCCCTATTGTTATCTCTCAGGTTGGCAGAAAAAGGAAAGCTTCCTTGAATATTTCAGGATATCCTTTCTTCTCCTAGTTTCTTGTTCTTGCACATGGAAGGCAGTTTCCTAGCTTAGTGTTTGTTATGTGTACAAATCCCACTTTGTTCACTGACATCAGTGAATCAAAACAGTTTTTTATTTCTTCTTTTAAGCAACACCATCTCCCATCTCGCCTTGCAGTCACTAACTGTAGTATTTTCTTTTTCATTTTAATCTCACACACTAATGACATTGTCCATTTCTACTTTCAGTAATTTACTTGCCTTACTTGGCACTAATTTATTATCTTGCTTCACTCTGTACCATTGTCGGTGGGAATGTAAAATGGGGCAGCCACTGGGGAAAACAATGTGGTAGTTAGTTCCTCAGGAATTTAAATATAGAGTACAATATGACCCAACAATTCTACTGCTTAGTATTACCCAAGAGAAATGAAAACATATGTCCACATAAACTTGTATATGAACATTTATAACAGCATTATTCATGATAGCCAAAAAATGGAAACAAGTGAAATTTCCATCAACTGATGAATGGATAAACAAATGGGGTATATTCACACACTGGAATATTATTCAGCCATAGGAAGGAATGAAGTCCTGATACAGGCTGTAGCCTGTATCATAGACGAAAACAGAAAACATCATGTTAAGTGAAAGAAGCCAGAAGCAAAAAGTCATATATTGTGATTCTATATTTATGAAATTTTCAGAAAAGGCAAATCAATAGACACAGTAGGTGGATGAGTGGTTGCCAGGGGCTTGGGAAGGGAGGAGAAAGGGGACTAATGGGAAGAGGGTTTCTTTTGAGGATTGTGATAATTTTCTGTTATACAACTTTGTGAGGGTTGTACAACTTTGTGAATATATTAAAAAAAACACTGATTTGTAAATTTTAAAAAATAAACTAAAAAATCATATATAAAAACTTGTCATCTCACTAACTAGAAACATTCATTCTGAGAAGGGTATGAGATGAGGTATTAGAAGGGAAAAATAATCTGACAGATATTGTGTCATGTCATCTCGAGCAGAAGGAAAAGGAGAAAGTGGGGGGCTGTGGTGGTATGATGAATTGGGAGATTGGGATTGATATATATACACAATATGTATAAAATAGATAGCTAATAAGAACCTGCTATATAACTAAATAAATAAGAAGGAAAAGGAAATCTTCCCAGGTCCCTTTCCCTTCATTCTCTAGCTCTGTTCTTCCTGAAGCTGCAGCAGGAGAGGGGAAGCAGCATTGAGGCAAGAATGGCAGAGCACATAGCAATCACCAGTTACACCCAGACCCGTCACTGGGGTAGAAAAATTCAGGATAATCACTCCAGGCTGGTCAGTGACAGTTACAGAAAGTGATAGGAAAGGGAGGAGGGGTTATTTTCTGGCTGGTATTAATAAAGAACTAAGACTCATACAACATTTCAGCCCATAAACATCTCATCCCAATCTACCCAAACAAAAGCTTGCTAGATGCCAGTCAAAAGCATCCCATATGCATCCCTCTTGGTCTGTGGACCTTGACAGCTGGATCCCTTGAACCGGATTTGAGCACATGCCCTTCAGTTCTACGCTTTGAGGTTAGAAGACAAGAGACCTCACTTTCCTCCCAGCCATGCAGGGTTGACTGACATCATTCCAGAGAATAATCCGTTCCAGGCTGCTCTTAGGAGCCACAACCCATCCCTTTGTATCTATCAGACCTAACGGCCTTAGAGGGGAAGAATGGAGAACTGTGCTGAGGCGCTGGGACCAGCAGGCAGCTGACTATGCTGAATGTGGAGCTGCAGCCATGACCTGGAGAGGCCAGTCTCTAACCCCCTGCAAGCTAGATGCCCAGACCTGACCTATCAGCTGTGTCACCTCTACTGCCGCTCCCACACCCTCAGCAATTAATGGGCTGGAAACCTTCCCAGTCCACCTGCAGTTTGCCCCAGATGCTACAATCTGTGGAACTGCTGGACTCTTTCTACTTAGACAGTGAAACAGGAGGAACCTCTTTCTTCATCTCAATCTTTATAGATCTAGGGCAGAGGTGGATCATTTCCATCTTGCATTTCACAGCTTGGGAACTATATTAGGCAACCTGGCCACTGAGACAAGAAGTTTTGATTCTTCCTCCCCAGATCAATTTATATTATTAACTTCTTTGAACCCCAAATCCCTTCTCTGTAAAATTATAATAATAATACCTTATTTGAAAAGTTGTTTGTATTCAGTGAAGACAATTACGGCAGAGTACCAAGCCCAGGCGCTGGTTCACTGTCTATTGACGATAAATGTTGCCATTATTATTGATGTTCTTGTTTGTATTTTTAACTACAGAGTCCTGGATAGGGAGGCAGGCCAATTCACTAAAAATCAATTCTTGAACTAATTACTTTGCAGAATGACAAAAATTTACAAACTGTAGTTTTAAGTAGTTTTAATAAAAATATTTTTTATTACATGTAATCAAATATATTCTTCTGCATATTGGCTAAATTGAGCTTGATTAGCTACCTGATAAAATAATCCTAATAGAATGCTAAAATGGTGGCAAATAATAAATTTACTGGATGTACCAATATGAACCACTTTTTCCATCCAAATTTTGGCATTCAGCATGTGACTTTTGATTTTTTCAGATATTTTGTCATGAAATGATTCTTTCCAAAATGTAAGCACACTTAGAATCATTTTACCAATTCCCCGAATGGCATGTCAGCCTTAAATTACATTTTTAGCAAGTGATTTTTAGTTTAATTTACATTGTAAAACACAGAAAATTAAATTTTAATTAAAATTCATTTAGAATTAAATTGAATTTTCATTAAATGAAATTTAAAATGGAAGAGCATCAGAAATAAATCAGAATTAGCCAAGAGTCCTATCAGAGATAAAATGCTGATATTTTGGTTTCTATCAAGAATTTCAGAAACAGAAAGATAAGTAACAGTTTGCAGAAAGTTTCAACTTAAAAACAGAAAACTGCTCAAATCAACAGAAAGGTAGTAAGGATATTTTGCAGGGAACACTTTAATGGATTGGGCGATTTGTTCCTCAAATTAATTTGATATTTAGTCATGATCTATGTAAAGTTGTAAGGAAAGCTAAGGAATCTTAGCTTTAAAAATTAAAGCTAAGTTAAAGTTAAAAATCCAAAAAGACATTAAATTTAGATGCTAGAGTGTTAACAAACTGAAAGTGATGTTTAAAATTTTGAAACAAAAATCGATACAAACTGAAAAGTTTCTACTTGAATTGGTAAATATTAACTGTGATCAGAAAAATGTATTTAATCATCATGACTATATTTGGACATTTTTCTAAAAGTTGTTAAGCCATTTCTTTAAAGCTATTAATTCTCAGCATATTCATCTTGGACCTCTGTAAGGGAAGGAAAATAAGCGATTTTAAATGCTCTAGATTCTGCTTCCTTCTGCATGACTTGGAGAGAGAGGTGCTGCAGCCTCATCCCAGGTGAGCATTGCGGGGGAGTCCTGGTAAAGGAACAAGACTGTCTGGACCCAGCTGGACCATAGGAAGTTCTACCCACTCCTCCCCAGCCACCCGAATAGAATACCTCTTTTTGTCCCATGTCCCTGCCACATCATCTCTAGGGTCTGACTCAGGAATTCCACCTCTACTTGCAGGAAGTAGAAGCCCAACTGAAGGAAGGAACCACGGGGCTGAGCATTGTTGAGCCATCACTCCCGGGGTCCCCAGTGGGAAATGAAGAAAGAATTAAGTTACCAAATGATTAAACTGACAAAGAACCAAACTTATGGATTTAAAATAAAATAAAATGAAACACAAAATGGTTTTACCAGCTTGAAAAGCAATAGCTTAACAACTTTTAGGAAAATGTCCAAATATAGTTACTAGTGATTAAACATTCATCTCTGAACATGGTACAGTATCCTTCCTGGCCAAAATCTGTGCGGCAAGAGGCCTGGCCCACAGGTTTTACTCACATGAGTGAAAGGCAGAAGCTGAAACACACAAATCAGAATCACAGAATCCCGTCCAATGGAGCATATGGAGGAGGTGTGGACAGAAGGAGCCGAGGATGTAAGCAGGTGAAAGGCAATGACTGGAAGCCAAGATGAGATGCTAAACAAGACCAGAGAAACAGGATGAAATTGGAGCTTGCCTGCATGAATTCCAGGGACTGAGGTGATGAGCTAATACCACTGTGGTTTGGGTTTTTTGCTGGGGATTTGGTTGGTTTAAAGATAGGAGAGTAGAATTCACAGGCTCCCTTTCTGTGGCCCAGCAGTGAGATTTTACCCTTCATTCATTCAGGCATCTTCCAGGCAGCGCTCCTCGGAGTTCACTTGTCCTTGATTGAGCGCCCCTGGTACTCACCTAGAGGAGGAACGGCAGAAGCATGCGCTTCAGATCTGGAATCAGAACGGCCTGGGACTCTCCAAAGCCACTGTCTGTGAGACTGCAAAATTTACCTAACTTCCCGATGGTAGGCATCTGCAATACAGAGATAATTATACCAACTTCATAGAGTTGCTGAGAATACATGAGATCAAATATGCAAAGCGCCAAGAACAGTGCTTGATGAATAGTAGGTGCTTAATAATAGTGGTAGTAACCCCCTTGCCTATAAAAATCCCCCCCGAGATGACTTTCCTTCTTACTCTTGATGTATCTGGCCTCATCACACTTCTTTCAAGAAACCTATCTCTTCAAAGTAAGAAGTGAAACCCTGGGGTTGAGTTACACACGGTTGTACGTAATTGAATGCTTGTGGTTTGCTGCTTATCTGAGGCATTTGTCCTTCCAGACTTCCCCGCCAACTTTCTTACTGGCACACAGATAAGATTAAACTTGTTATATTCAGTAGAAAAAAAAATCCCTTACTTATTATAACTTCATAAAAACTGGGTCATGGGTATTTTTCATAGTTGCTCCCATTTTACTGACATTTTATGATGTATAATAACTAACAATAGCAAACGCTTATAGTGGCAGCACGTTTAAAAAAAAAAAAAAAAAAGCTGCCACGTGCCCAGGCAGCCAATTCTGCTAAGGCAATTGCATTTCTGAAACATACAGTGCCAACAATCAGATCTTTTGGTGAAACCATTATGAATTTAGTAGCTAGTCTCATAGGAGTTTCTAAAGAATTACTCTCTGAAAATTTTCTGGAATTATTTCCCCTGTGTCTTTTCAGCCTTTTAATTAACACTGAGTTATGATCTCTAACCTAGAAATAGGGGACTCCTTGAGAAAGCTCATTGGTCCTTACTGCATCTTTATAGTATTTCCCAGGGTGGTATCAGTATCCCAGTCCCTGACCTGCCCAAGGCAAGTTGTGTTGAGTAATGTGTCCCAAAGGCTGTGGTCATGAGACTTCTCTGTAAGGGTTTATATACACTGTGCAAGAGACTTTCCAATATTTAGCACTTCCATGGAGTGAGTCTAGAAGCTATTAAAATTACTGGGGATATCAACTGAAAAAAAATGCATAACCTAAAAGTTGAGAATTATGTTTTATTCAGTGGATTTTCTGAGGACTTAAGCCCAGAAGACAGCCTCTCAGAGAGCTCTGAGGGACTGTTCCAAAGAGGAAAGGGAGGAGCCAGGATATACAGGAGTTTTTACAACAAAAACCAGGTAGTTGGAACATCAGATGATTACTGTTAATTAAAGAAAAACCAGACATCTCAAGTTAATGAATTTAGAGCTTTTCTACGTACAGGAAGATGCAAGAGTCTGGGCTCATTGAAATCATTCCTTTGGCACCTCAACTATCTAGGGCCAGTATCTGGCTCTTTCCCATCCTGAATGCCCTCAGGGTGCACTGTTGAGGCAGTGGCTGACGACTTGGTGGCTGGCAGCCTGTTTGTCTCCACCCTGAGTTTCTTCAGAGCTCGCTGTTGGAGCGGTTATAGTGGCTGATGGCTTGATGGCTGCAACATCCTTTGTTTCCTGATATGGCAAGTGACATTTTTCATCCACAGGAACATCTGCTTAGAGAATGAAGGAATCAGAATTCTTAGTCTTTCAGAATACTGAGAACATAGAAATGGTTGTGTTTTAGATGCCATGAGTAAACTGTTAAGGGAGAAGCATTTTCCTGGGACAGAATGAAAAAGAAAAGTCAAGAGAGATAGACACAGAGAAAGAGAGAGAGACAGGCAGACAGACAGACACAGAGAGAAACAGAGAGAGAGCTTTCCCACCAGTGAGTAAGAAGTTAGAGGAGGGCTAGGAAGCAGGGCAGAGAGGACGGCAGCACGGGACCAATGTTTTCCCATTCTTACTTCATTGTCCTGTTTCTCTGTCGCAGCACTTCTTCGTGTTATTTGCTGTGTCATCTTCTGTGGAGTAACGTGGTTCTTCAACCTGAACACGAACCCATGAAGAGGGAAAGGAGCAGTGGAAGAGCCGCTCTCCTAGCTGCTCAAAGCACTCCTTTTCCAGAGTAAAGGGAGCGTCATTTTCCGAATATTCATTTTTTGAGATTATTTCTATTTAACTGGTTTCCAGAACAGATTTGAAATAGTTGGTTATCGTGTGATGGTCTAAATACCATTCTCCCAAGGGAAAATGCCGGTACATTCAGGTTAACTTTGCTTATACAGCAAAGGCAATCATTCCAATAGTTCAAGTTCAGAGATATGAGATGATAGTAACTGGAGTCTTTTTTCCTTTCCTCTTTTCTTTCTTTCTGTTTTTTTTTTTTTGAATCCAGATGTAGAGATAATAATCTATTGCATAATTCAACAGCACATATTGAATATTAATGATATTCTACAGGTATTTAACACTTCTTATCTAATAACCCCAAAAAGCTTGCTTTTAGCTATCACAACATATATTTTCTGTTAGCCTAATAGATTACAGAGGCATTTCCAATTCAAAGGTGTAAAGATGACAACTCATAAGAAACCATGTTAGGTCCCACTCTATCTCTTTGTTGTTATGAGGAAACTTCCTGCTTCAGACTGGCAGAAAGTCACCAAGAGGGCCAGGAGTAGAGGAAGAAACCGTGGTTTCAGTTTCTGAACGAACTCTCATCCGTAATGCCCTCCCCAATCAGTGAAGCTCTGGGGTCCCCCATCCCTCTGCATATGCAAATTCTTTGGCACACTTCCTGAGAAACAAACTGATAGCTAAGGAAGATTTAGACCCTGACACCCACAGAAAGCAGGGGCTGTTTTAGCACATGCTGCACAGGACTAAGGGTTTCTCCTGCCGTCATATCTGCATACCTTGAAATTGAATTTTAAAAGGTCAGAATCTAGATATGTAAACATTTAAAAATATTATCCCCTAACTTATTTGTTTAGCTTCTAACACGTGTTAATCTCCTTCTGTTTTATCTGTAGCTGTGGGAGGTCTATGCCCAGAGCCTACAGAGAGCCTTTGTCAGGGCGGCTCTGCACTGTCAGCAGAGGGGGCGGGACTCTGCCTGGGCCCTGGCTGGGCTGGCAGCGCTGGGGTGCAGTCAGCACTGGCTCTTTTCCCGATCAGGCCACTTCTCAGCCTTGCTATTGGCCCAGAGACCAACTTTCTGCTGCCATGGGACAAGCCCGTGTCCTGCTGGCTGGTGGATACCTGATGTTGCTTCCATTTGCCATCCAATTCGGTCATCATCACACTACTTTTACAATCTGGACACCTCAGCACATTCCTGGAAAAAATGAATAAATGTAAAAGATCATAAAGGATTTATTTGTATAGCTCTCAAGCCCATCAAAAAAAAAAAAAAGAAAGAAAGAAAGAAAAGAAAAAAAAAAACCTGCTAAAAGCCATAGTATTTGTACTCAGTCAGGGAGAACGAGAGTTAAAGAGCAAATCACTTCCCTTTAGGAGTATTTGCTGTGTTCCAAGATAATTAAGAAAGCAGCCCGACCTCTTGGAAGCTGATGCTTTCTGAAATAGAGAATTTCCAAATGCAAAGTGTTCCTGATGGCAAGATTAATTTCTTCTTGTGCCCCTGTGCATTCTTGATGTGGCATATATCCTGGGAAAGGCATAGGGCAAACTCAGAAGCTGAAGCTTGCCAAAGGATACGTCAGTATATCCTGCCTTACCCTTTCCCATTCTCTCCAGACTTCGGAAAGAAAAGAATGCAGCTTTTTTCATCCATTACCGGCCTTACAGAAGAATAATAGTTTATTTGGGACAATCATGTTGTCCCCCCTTTAAATCCATAGACGTCTAATCCAGTGCAGACGCAGGGTAGAGACAAATTCATCTCTCAGTGCTGAATGTCTTTCTGAAATAACCCAGAGGAGTGCTAACCTGGGCCCAAAGAAAAAAATAATCTTTTATATAATAAAGTGATTATATCTAAAGAGTGTTATTCCAATATAATATTTCAACGCTACCTCAAATCCCATTTGCTCTGACTGTGGAGGGGATTCAGGACGGAGAGAAACAGGATCCTGGCCCTAGGTAAGGTGCATACTGCTAAAGGACTGATTCCAAAGAGCCCAGACTTGTATCTTCCCATATAAGAAAAGTGCTAAACTCATGAACTTGCAATGTCTGTTTTTTCTTTAATTAACAGTCATCTTTTGATGTTCCAACTATCTGGTTTCTGTTGCAAACATTCCTCTATATGCTGGCTCTTCCTTTACCCCTTCAGAGCAGTCCCTCAGAGCTATCAGAGAGGCTGTCCTCTGGGCATAAGACCTCAGAAAGTCTGCTGAATAAAACATAATTCTCAACTTTTGGGTTGTCCTTTTTTATTCAGCCGACATGACTCTCTAGACAGCTGTCAGCTGGTCAGCTTCAGGCACTGGGCTCAGACCTCTGGATCCCCCTCTAAGAGGTCAATTCCTGCCATCTTATCTGAGTTTCTGGGTGTGGCGGGGAGGAGAAGAGCGGCCGTGCAGTCTTATGTCCACCGAAACCTTCACAGGTGATGACCTGATACACCCTTTCCTCCTTTCCTGTCCCCCACCTTCTCCCCTCTTCCTCCTTCTCTAACCCTTCCCCTCCCTGGCAGCTTCCCTAAAAGATATTACTCAGCCATATAAAGAAACGAAATTGAGCTATTTGTAATGAGGTGGATGGACCTAGAGTCTGTCATACAGAGTGAAGTAAGTCAGAAAGAGAAAGACAAATACCGTATGCTAACACATATATATGGAATTTAAGAAAAAAAAATTGTCACGAAGAACCTAGGGGTAAGACAGGAATAAAGACACAGACCTACTAAAGAATGGACTTGAGGATATGGGGAGGGGGAAGGGTAAGCTGTGACAAAGCGAGAGAGAGGCATGGACATATATACACTACCAAACGTAAGGTAGATAGCTAGTGGGAAGCAGCCGCATAGCACAGGGAGATCAGCTCGGTGCTTTGTGACTGCCTTCAGGGGTGGGATAGGGAGGGTGGGAGGGAGGGAGACGCAAGAAGGAAGAGGTATGGGAACATATGTATATGTATAACTGATTCACTTTGTTATAAAGCAGAAACTAACACACCATTGTAAAGCAATTATACTCCAATAAAGATGTTAAAAAAAAAAAAAAGATATGCAGAACAGTTGACTGCAATGTTGCTGTTACTACCCCGCAAGTATTTTAGATAAGTTCTAGTTATGAATAAAAAAGGTAATGGCTGGAGCTGAAAGGCAAATTGGGGGAGAATTGTAATTTTAGTCAGCAGTACTGTGTGGTGGTGACATCTGGACTTTACAATCAGCCTGAGTCTAAATTCTCCCCTCACTATTACTCGACTTTCATGGAAACTTCCACAGCCTCAGCTTCCTCATGTGCAAAATGAGAATAATTCAAGAATTAAATGAGATAACATATGTAAAGATCTCATTATGTTTCTGGCACATAATATCTGTTTAATAAATGTTAGCTATTATTGTTAATTCCAAACCTATAACACCTCCTTACCAGTGATGTCATATTTAAAGGCCAAAAAATTATTAACAGCAGCAAAATCCCCAACAAGTTTTGGAAAACTGAGATTGAAATGGAAGAAATAAAACCTCTAAATGCAATAAATGTGTTATGGAGTATATGACAAAGCCAATACTTTTCTATGAAAGGATTTTTATACTTTGTAGTAAACTTGAAACTAGGAACTTAGTAGAATTAGTAAAGGTCAGACCTCTGGACAAAATATCTGCTTCCCTGGGCATTGTCTTGAGTCTAGTAAAATTACTGACCTTCTCCCAAACCGAGCTGTTCCTGTATATGAAAGTGTTGGACATGGTTTTTGGTCTCCAGAAAAAGATACTACAAACTACAAAGTATTACTCTTGATTAATAACAAGCATCCCCTCTGTTGAATTGTGTCCCCCTAAAAGATATGTTTAAACCCTAACCCCCAGTACCTCAGAATCTGACCTTGTTTGGAAATAATGTCTTTACAAAGATAGATTAAAATAAGGTCATTAGGGTGGGCCTTAATCCGATAAAACTTGTATACTTATATAAAGAGGAAATTTGGATAAAGAGACAGGCACACAGAGAGAATGCCACTTGAACGTGAAGGCAGAGATCCAGGTGATGCGTCTACAAGCCAAGGAAAGCCAGAGATTGCCAGTAAACCGGCAGAAGCTGGGACAGAAAGACGCAAGTAACAGATTCGCCCTCTGAGCCCTCAGAAGGAACCAACTCTGCCAAAAACCTTGATCTTGACTTTCTAGCCTCCAGAACTGTGAGAAAAGAAATTTCAGCTGCTTAAACCACTTAGTTCGTAGTACTTTGTCATAGCAGCCCTAGAAAACTAATACGTAAACACAATGATCACAATCAGGACTATATTAAAATTCCACAGATCATATTGAAAATTATATTGAAGAATCACAGCTCCCCAGGCCTAACAAACAAATACATACCCTTAAAATTCCTCTTGTTTTCCTAAACTATTGCAGCTGCTACACTGGCAGCAGCCTCAACCTTTCTTGTTGCCACTGCATTATTGATTGCTATTTCATATTCTCTCAGGCACCCATTAGCTCTTCTGTTGTGATTGTTTTCTGTTTGTTTTTCACCCCGTTATGTCTTTAAAATGATTGGCATGCAGCCTTATTTTGTATTTCAATATTTAAGACTGAGAGTCAACTCAGTCTGGAAAGCAAATGGGGGGCTCAGCTTAAAGCAACACACTTAGCTCCAAGCACCCATGAGGGCTGTAAAATCTCCCAGAAGCACTGGGTTCATTGTGTCTGTGGAGTTAGGTTAATTATAACCTAGTGTTCTACCTACACCATCCCTCAGACTTCCTTTCACCTTGATCATGATTTTAGCTGCTAACATGACTCATCTATCTGGTCTTTTCTCCAGTAAGAGGATGAATATTACAGAAGACTTTTGCCATTCTTTGGCTCTCCAGCATCCAACAACTCACTCCAATCAACACCCTAATACAGGAGTCCCCAACCCCCAGGCTACAGACTGTTACCAGGTGAGCCAGCAAAGCTTCATCTGTATTTACAGCCGCTCCCCATCGCTCTCATTACTGCCTGAGCTCCACCTCCTGTCAGATCAGTGGCGGCATTAGATTCTCATAGGAGCTTGAATCCTGCTGTGAACTGCGCATACGAGGGATATATGTTGCGTGCTCCTTATGAGAATCTAATGCATGATGATCTGAAGTGGAGCTGAGGCAGTGATGCTAGCACTGGGGAGCGGCTGCAAATACAGATTATCATTAGCGGAGAGGTTTGACTGCACAGAGACCATGATAAATCAAGTGCTTGCAGACTCATATCAAAACCCTATCTGTGGGTGTCAAGTGAAAACAAGCTCAGGGCTCCCACTGATTCTGCATTATGGTGAGTTGTATAATTATTTCATTATATATTACAATGCAATAATAATAAAGTGCATAATAAATGTAATGCTCTTGATTCATCCCCAAACCATCAACCGTCCCCCCTTACCCTGGTCCGTGGAAAAACTATCTTCCATGAAACCAGTCCCTGGTGCCAAAAAGGTTGGGGATTGCTGCCCTAATATCTCATTAGGGGAAGTCCCAAAAGAATACCCCTTTTGGGAAATTCCCCAACTATGACTGCCTCCACCCAGGAATGAAGGGACTCAAATCCTTCCTGGCCCCTTTGTGTAGTCAGGGAGTGGGCATAAAACCAAAAGTCAGTCCATCAGGCCTCCTTCCTGGAACTTTGAATTCTGAGCAAGGAACAAATCCTTTTGGCTTTCAGAATCATCCCAACAGCAACACAAAGACCAGATGGTTTCTGCATTATAGTTCCTGCTGCCAAGCCTGAGGAGCTGCCTGGAACTGCCAGTTTTCCAAGACGGGTGCTCCAGACTCTTGTTAATACTTGTGCACCTGATACGCTTCTGATATACATATTCTGGCTTTCTTTTTCCATTTCTTTTTCTTTTTCCTTCCCTTCCTCCCTCCCTTCCTTCCTTCCTCTCTGTCTCTCCCTTCCTTCCTTCCAACCTTCCTTCCTTCCTTTCTCTCTCTCTCTCTCTCTCTCTCTCTTTCTTTTCAACCACATTTGGTCTCAGTGGCTTACAACCAAGACTCTTGACAGATTCAAGGCCTAATGAACAGAAACTACCAGACTATGGTGCAGCTTCATCTCATATAAGTGGTGGGATATGAGGAAAATCTTATACCCAGTCTGAGCCTGTTTGCTCATGTGGAATGTGAGTCTGATATCTGCCTTCCTAAACTCTGAGCTTATCGTGCAATCCAAAAAAGCTCTTTGTTACTGTTAAGTAATGGAATAATGATAATGATGATGATGATGATAATGATACTAAAGATACTTTATTAGAGTTTCATAAGGTAAATATGCAGGAAAAAGAAATACATAGTTGTGAGGTGGAAGGTGGAATACTTAAAGCACTTTAAAAAATTACATAATAAATTTCTTTCTGAGTGTTAGAATAAAATATTTGAAATTCACACTACATTTCAATGAACCAAAAAAGAGAGTCATTCCTTAAAGAATGCATTTAATACTATGTAAATAATGCTGCTCTTCATTTATTTTTCTTATAAATATGGATTTCTTTGTTTCAGATTTTCTTAAGGGGAATTCTATCTGAATGTGTTACAGCTAAATTCATGAGTCCACCCATATCAGATTGCATTTCATATCCCCAAATGCAATGCCTGTTAGATCTTTTGTTTATACCTTAACTGTTGGCTATCTTTTTTCAATAAACATTTTTATTGAATTATACATTCAGAAGGGTATACAAATCATAAAGGTACAGTTTATTGAACTGTCACAAAGGGCACACACCCATGTAAGTGACAGCTAGGTCAAAAACTGAATACTCCTAGAACCTGAGAAAATACCCTCATGCCCCTCCGAGGCCATACTTTAGCTGCCTGAATTGCCCTTAATTTTAACACCAGAGAACAATTTTTCCTGTTTCTGAATTTTATTTAAGTGGAATTATAAACTATGTATCATTTTGTATAAGGCTTCTATAGATCAACAATATATTTATGAGATTCATTCAGGTTTTGAGAGTAGCAGTGGTTTTCCTTCATTACTGTGTGTTATTCTATTGTATAAATCTACCACAATTGGTTTACTCATTCAACTCTTTGAAATGTTTCCAGTTACAAATGATATTGTTTTCAACATTCTATTTTATCTTTTGGTGTACATATGTATTTCTTTTAAATATTTACCTGGGGAGGTAATTGCTGGGTCATAGAATATGAAGATGTTTAATTCTTATAGATAAAAAATAGTCTTCCCAAAGAGGTTCTGCAGTGTTCTGCATCCTTGTCAACACTTGGCATTATCAGTTATTTTAAATTCTAGTCATTCTAGTGGGGTTTAGTGTTATCTCCTTGTAGTTTTAATTTTCATTCCCTTGATTCTAAGCACACAACAAAGAAAAACTACATTATCTTTTATTATTTACACTGAGGGATATGCAGGGAGACAAACTGTACCCAAAGTGAACTCAAAACTTTACAGTCTTGCCCTCGAAACAAATACATGTACCTGAATCTGCATGTGTGTAGGAGAGCAAGTGTATAACTGAGGAGTTCTTCAAATAGCTTCCATGCAGAATTAAATGTTTATGAAAAGATAAATAAGTAATAAACACAAGCTAATGTGAAACTTACATATATTATTAAAATTCAACTTAAGCACAACAACTATTTAGAATCTAGACCAACAAAAGATTTTTTTTCAAGGGGTGGGTTATTTTATCATAAGGTTTGTTAAAATTGCTGGTCCATGATGATATTCAAAAGCACACCACCTAGATGATTTTATTATCATTTTTAAACTCTCTACAGACAACACATCCCTTTATTGCCTGCACTCAGAGTGGATCACTCTCACTGCCCCATCCTTGGTTGCCACTAAGGGATTTTATGCCTTTATATGTTGAATCATCCTTGCATTCCAGGAATAATTCCCAACTGATCATGGAGTATACTCTTTAAATATTTTTTCTGATGTCCTAAATGATTTCGGCCCCATCCCAATTTACATCACCTACTTTGAATGGGTTTCTGTGCCTTAAAACTCAAAGAGCCTGGTGCATAGTGGATGCTAAATAAAACATTACCTTTGGACCTAAATTTATGGGTTTCTATGTTGACTTGGAGTGGAAACTCTTTCCTGGAGGCTAGTGGGAGTCAAAACATCATACTAATATTAGCATCTTCTTCTAGGGAGTTAGAGAATCAAAAATAACTAAAAAATAAAAGAGCACTTTTGTGGGAAGTTAAGGAAGGGACTTGACCCTTGGCATCATTAGCTCACTTGAGCTTGCACTCATCTCTTTGTCAGTGAGTTTACTGGTTGGCAAATGGACATGGTAAGGACAGCACCAACTTTCAACTAGATACAGACAGGAAGAATCAGAAGTAGGAATATAGTTTATTGACATGTCATTATTTCTCTAGATACCATGATCATTTAGAGACATGGTTTATGACATCTGTTTACAGTTTACAAAGGCATTAAGAACCAAGTGACAGTGCAGTAAGATTGCATGAGACAATACTCCTGTTTTCCCCCTGACTTTATTTCTGTGTTGTATCAGTTATATGACAGTTATTTAACCTCTTTACTGTGACATACAATGGTAGGGTGTGCTATGCTGTATTAACATAATTATGCTCCTTTATTGACTATAAAAAAAGAATTTTTCAGAAGTCCTGGGCACTGTAAACAGCAGCTTCTTCAAGCTAATGCACAGGAGTGTCAGCACAGAACTGCAGAAGTTAGTTAATGGAGGCTGAAATTCTGCACTATTAATAAAGCATGGTATTTAAGAATTGAAGTGAATTATCTATGAGGTTTAGGCATGGAGCTCTAGGAAATAAATATTTTATATAATTACAACGTAAGATTAACTGTCTAAATATTATTCATTGCCTTACAATTTTTAGCACTTTATCCCTCAATAATTAATATTATTTACTAAAAAAAAAAATATACTATTTACTAAATATCTATTACTATCATTAAGAGGTAAAATACTATATGTAATAATAAGTATTATGAAATCATTATTTATACATATCAAACATGGGGCTGAGGAGGACCTGGGAAGGGAAATCTGGGTGGGGGCCAAGGGCCGCCTGGAATTTATAACTTTATTATTATATTTAAAATAATAACTATTCAAATTTCCTGTACACTATTCATTGCATGATAATATATAACATTTATTGCTATATAATGACTAGTATTTTATTTATTAGCAGTAGTAGTAGTAGTACTAGCAATTAGTAACCATTTACTAAATAATAAATATATAGAAAATGATTTTAATTATATATGAAACCTCTCCCATCTCTCCCGCCACTTCACCCCCAGGCTACGATTCCTAGAAGAACTGGGCAGTAATTATCACATTTTCGTGCTTCTCTGAATGATCTACAATTTGTGACACTTGAGCCGTGTCTGGAAGGATGAATGGGGTTAGTTAGGAAAGGGGAGATCGAAGGTCTTTCCAGGGAAGGGTCAGCAGGTACAAAGACATAGAGACGTCTGGCACCTCAGAGGCTAGTTGGAATGGCTGGGGGCTGGCTGTCACCCTTCACAGTCTCACATCCCTAGTGCAATTTCTAAGTGTCCTCTCTCTTCAGCAAGATAGTCAAACTTCTTTAACAGAGGCTGACTTCTAAAAGAGCAAAAGTGAGATTTGCCAGGTCTCTTAAGGGCTAGACCAGAATTTGCAGTCATTTTTGCCACATTCTGCTGGTCAGTGCAAGTGACAAGGTCAGCATAGATTCAAGGGGAAGAGAATTAGCCCTTACTTGTTGATGAGAGGACAGACATATGTCTGTAACCATGAGGAGAACTGGATACTATTATATGACACAGGATTGTTCCTTGAAATTTGGGAATGAGAACATCCCAGATTAGCCACACCCCTTCTACTTTTAAATTTCACTATGTTTTGGACTACCTTACTCAAAAATTGCATTTCTTTTATTACATGAAGGAGAAAAAAGAAGGAAAAGAAAAAAGAAATCCCTGTACAGGAAATCCGCTTTTGAAGTTCCCCAAACTAATTAAGAACACACTCAAGTCTCATTTATTTTATATTATCCATAAAATAATCAAAAGTTAACAGGTATTTACCTATGCCTGTTAGAGCATTAATTTCACTAGTAAAATCATCTAAAGTATCAAATTCTAGACATCTGTTTAAACTAATAATTTTGAAGAAACTTTGTCTAAAGCAGAGTTGTGGCTCACTAGATGAAATATTTTTATTAGATTTGAAATTAGATGTTCATTTGTAGAAAACAGACACCACTTCAGGCACTTAAGAAGAAAGGGATTTAATACAGTGAATTTGGTGCATACAAACTAACTGGAAATGTTGGAGGTACAAAATCCAGGATGCTGTAGATCAACACCACAGAACAAGCCCAGCAAAGGACTGCTAACTGTCATCACCAGGAAGCTGGCAAGTCAGGAAGCTGCAGTCTCAAGTGGACCATCATCTTAGTCATCATATAAGGAAAGAGTATTTCCTACAATTGTTGATCGGGGTAAGAGGATGGAAAGCCACCACTTAAATGTTGACCTCTGGACCATGTACGCATAATGATTTATATAAGGGTAAAAACAAATTAAAAATAAGAAAAAAACTTTAATTCTTTGTACTGAAATAAAATGGAGCATTTCTCCCTCTCCCTTTTCTTAGAACATTCACTTTAGAAAACTTATAATTCCTGTTTCTTTGAAATATTTGTAATCCTTTTTAAAAACTAAATATGCCTCTTGCCAATTTTATAACCCAGGAATGTTTCCTCAACCTAGAAACCAAGTCTGAAATGTTAGCATCAAGGAAGAAAACGCCCCTATCTCTCAGTTTTTATGGGAGGGTAGAAGCTGGCTCCTGCCTCTAAGTTGCAAACCTACCTCCTGTCATAATGATATAAGAAATTTATTTTTCCTTTGGGTAAAAGCAATGAGCACAGGTGGTTACCCTAATTACCAAGTGAATTTAGGACCAACCATGTGTGATAAATTGTGCTGTCCTGTGCTGTTTATCTTGAGAAGCCGGATGGAATGGGTTGTGTCTGCTCAGCTGCACAAAAGGATGAGATTCCTTTCTCTCCTTGCAGTCTCCTACCAGGTTACCTGTAATTCACATCACATTCTGGTTCAGGCTTGTTCAATAACAACATTTTTTTCTTTTCTATTTTTGTGGGGAGGATTTCTCGGTTAGCAGGGGATCTTGTTTTTGTATTTCCCCAACACTGCATGCCACGGCCTCTGTGCCTCTGTTCCTGTTTATTTTTTTCCACTTATTCAAGTCTTGCACGAGTGCATTTGATAGGCAAAACCTAAATCATACCCAGAACCCTAATCTTGGGTGAGCCTGGGAAATGTCGTTTTTAGCTTTCCAGTCCCTACAATGTATGTTTCATCAAAAGAGTGAAGTTCTAAATTTCTAGACAAGTAGTGAATAAGGCATCATAAAAATCATGTAGTCTAAATGAGTTTAATTCTCTGCTTTAAACCCTGGAGGAACTCTAGTATTTGAATTTTTCTAACCACGAGCTGCAACTAATACACACCTCAGCACATGCCAGGTGTCAGTGAGAATTAATGATCAGTTCTGAGCATCTTCCCTGCCAAGAGGCCTGAGCTAATCATTCTACTTTTTAGCTATCACAAAACAACTGTGCAAGTTGGCTATAATTACCTGGATTTTGCTCATTAGGAGACTGAGGTTCGAACAGTTTACATGTCCTGTCCCAAACTCTACAACTAGAAGGGGAAAATTCAACGTTTAAATTTAGGTGGTTTGATCCATTCCCCTACTTGTCTCATGATTTTCCCTTTTTACTTTCAGGTTCCTAGATCAACCCAGTGGGGTTTCTCCTGCCGTATCACACACAGTCTCAATGCTACTACTAGAGTTAAGAAAATGCTTTCAAGATAAAGAAGTAGAGGCTTTTCTAGATGTGGCTTAACTCAGGAACGTGGTTTGCAGTACCACCAGCTGCCCCTGCCCTTCTGGCCAGCCTGTGCCCAACGGCTTCCGTGGATGGACAGCTAGAGGTGGAGGCAAAGCAGCTTCCCAGCGGGGCTCTGCCTTTCACCACAGGACCGTATTGGGTAGGTTACTTGACTTTTCTAAGCCTCGACTTCCAAATCTGTAAAACAGATAAAAACTCAGGCTGCCTCACAGGTTTGTGAGGACTGAATGAGAAAACAGATGCAAAGCACCTGCCCCATAGAAATCACCGAATGAAGGTCAGAGCCCCTGATGATTTTATGATGATCAAACTTAACACTTCAGGAAGCAATGCATTCTCATTTGAGACAGCCTGAGTTACTGACAAATGGTTTCTTATATAGAGCAGAATTTTGCCTCTAGTACATTTTATTCATTGGTCTTAAGTATTCCCTCTGGGAAAAAAGCAAATTAGGCATCACACTCTTCCACATGACAACCCTTTAAATAGTTGAAGGTACATTTCCCCCGTTCACCCATATGAAACTTGTGTCTGCCAACTTCCCCACCCAACCCACACTCAAGTTTTTATATACAAACTACTCTTTAGCCAGTTCTCCTCAAATTTATTCTTGGAAATATTTTTAAACTGTTGTTATTTACATTTATTTCCATTTTATTTCACAACAGCTTTGACTATCATCTTAGCCCCTCAAGAGTTTTTCTTTTATTGAAATATAATTGATTTGCAATGTTTCCGGTGTACAGCAGAGTGATTCAGTTATACATATATATATGTATATATACATATTCTTTTTCAGATTCTTTTATTTATAGGTTATTACAAGATATTGAATATAGTTCCCTGTGCTATACAGTAGGTCCTTGTTGTTTAGCTAGTTTATATATGGTAGTGTGTATCTGTTAATCCCAAATTCTTAATTTATCCCTCCCCCCAAGAGCTTTTTAATCTGGATTTCATTATTCTCTGTATGAGCAAGTTCTCTGGATTAGCTAGGATTAGGTTTGCCTATGAATTACATGACACTAAGATATACATACAGACACTTAGGTTGTTTCCATACCTTGGCTGTTGTGAATAATGCTGCAGCGATCATGGGAGTACAGATATCTCTCTAGATAATGGTTTTGTGTCCTTTGTATGTCAGAAGTGGGATTGCTGGGTCATACAGTAGTTCTATTATTGATTTTTTTGAAGAACCTCCATACTGTTTTTCATAGTGGCTACAGCAATTTGCATTCCCACCAACAGTGCCCGAGGGCTCCCTTTTCTCCACACCCCCACCAGCATGTTTTATCTCTTTTTCAAAATAGCCATTCTAACAGGTGTTAGGTTATATCTCACTGTGCTTTTTATTTTCATTCCCCTGATTAGTGATGTTGAGCACCTTTTCATGTACTTATTGGTTATTTGTATGTCTTCCTTGGAAAAATATTTATTCAAATCCTTTGTTCTGACTGCTCCACCCACCAGCCTTTCCCTCTCTCTCCATATCTTCTGGCCTCTCTATTCCCTGAGACACAACAATATTGAAATTAGGCCAGTTAATAATCATACAATGGCCTCTAAGTGTTCAAGTGAAAGGAAGAGTCACATGTCTCTCACTTTAAATCAAAAATTATAAATGATTAATGTGAGGGAGGAAGGCATGGTGAAATTCAAGATAGACTGAAAGCTAGGACTCTTGTGCCCAACAGTTAGCCAAGTTGGGAATGCAAAGGAAAAGTTCCTGAAAGAAATCAAAATTGCCACTCCAGTGAACACATGAATAATAAAAAAAAACTGTAACAGCCTTATTGCTGATATGGAGAAAGTTTTAGTGATTTGGATAGATCAAACCAACCACAATATCCCCTTAAGCCAAAAGCCCAATACAGACAAAGGCTCTAATTCTCTTCAATTCCATGAAGTCTGAGAGAGATGAAGGCACTGCAGAAGAAAGGTTTGAAGCGAGCAGAGGTTGGTTATGAGGTTTAAGGAAAGAAGCCGTCTCCATAACATAAAAGTGCAAAGTGAAGCAGCAAGTGCTGATATACAAGCTGCAGCAAGTTATCCAGAAGATCTGGCTATAGATGATTAATGAAGGTGGTTACACGAAACAACAGACTTTCAGTGTATATGAAACCACCCTATATTGGAAGAAGATGCCACCTAGACTTTCATATCTAGAGAGGAGACGTCAGTGCCTGACTTCAAATCTTCAAAGGACAGGCTGACTGTCTTGTTAGGGGCCGAAGCAGCTGGTGATTTTACGGTGAAGCCGATGCTCATTTACCATTCCAAAAATCCTAGGGCCCTTCAGAATTATGCTCAGTCTGCTCTTCCTGTGCTCTATAACTGGAACAACAAAGCCTGGACTTCAGCTAAAACAGCAGAAGCTGAACTGCTCCCATACTCCTTATTTGCTGCATACACTTCTCCAATGTGTTGAAACCCTTCTTCTAATCTAGTTTATATCCCAAGTTTGTATCCACCTTGACAATAAAATTCTTCCACTTACTCTAGGACTTTTTGAAATAAGATTATAATGTCCCAGGTCATGTAGGGACTGGGTCCACAAATGCCCTATATATATCTCACTTTTTAGCGGTAGCCACGGTGATTGGTTCAGTGGGTGAACACGTGAGCTAAGTTGTCCAGTCTGTCTGTGGAATTTTTATATAGCAAAATAGGGAAAAAACGTATTCTTACTTTGCTCTAGAATCACAAAATTTGGAGACTCTAAGCCGGGAATTGGCTACCTTCCCACACCCCCACCATGTATATGAATCCATCTCTCTGCAATAGAAGTGGATAAAATCAATAAGCAGGAAAAACAGAGACAAAAGACAACCATGATGGCATTGTGTCTCCAGGTCCTATATCTGAAGCTCCCCAGTTTGCCCGATCCCTGCAGCTCTTCCTTGGCTTCTCTGAACAACCCCCTGGATGACTTCATTAAAACAACCTTGGTGCTTAATCTTTCTTAAGTTGGAGTTTATGTCATTGCAAACATAAGAATATTAACTGTAGCAGAGATAGCTAACACTTATGCCCCAAATGTATGCATTTCCTTCCTGGAGTTCCTACCAGGAACTGCAACCCAGTCAGGCAACACACTTTCCAACCTCAATACATCTAGGTGGGGCCATGTGACTTGTTCTTAGTAATGGAAACAAGCGTTTATTAATTCCAGATCAAGATTGTTAAGAAGTGGTTATATCTTCTTCACTCTTTTTTTTCTTCCACTAGCTGACTACAGGTAAGCGCAGTGTCAGATGGTGAACCTACAAGACAGAACGAGGCTGAAATCCTAAATCACTAGTTGGAGGAAAGTTTCCCACTAATCTCTTTGGGAGTTGATGTGATTGACAAGTAAACTTCTATCATACATATTTGAAAAATTATATATTTTGAGGATTGTGTGATACAGCAACTACTCCTATCCCAAGTAATTCACTAACTATTGAAGTCCTTAATCTCAATTTTTTCATGGCAATTAAAATTTTCTTTGAGCTTAGGAATGAACATGAAAGATACCCTAGAAGAGGTATCACTTGAACCAAATCTGGAAATATGAGAAGAATTCAATTGTGTGATAAAGGAAGGGAATGGCATTCCAGTGGAAGAGAAACATATACGCAAAAAAGGACAGCAAGAAAAATCATGGAATATTTGGAGACTAGTAATCCATTTATTATTAAAAAAGAAAGAAGAAGAGTAATGGGATATCAGTTGAAGTAGCAGGGGGGAACCAGATCATAATATGTTTTGGACCAAAACAAATTCTATGAAACTCTGGGTTCCCACAACCACAATCATTATATCACCCTTGATGACAGAAAGAGCAAGTAATTCTTTATAGAAATTTTTTTGTAGGATTCATGGCATGTATATCAAGAGAAGAAAATGTTGATACTCTGCACATGACTAATGGAGTTAGAGTTTGGGCTAATTTCTGGATTGAACTTGAACTTGAAGGTAGTTAATGGTCTTTGCAGTAGCTTGGGATAAAACTGCTTAGTAAGAGTTCTTTGTATGGGATGGTGACAAAATAATCTAAATGAATTCTCTCTTGCAGGATATAGAAATAAAAAATACCCACAGGGAAAGCAAATCACTTAAGCAATGGCTGTATCCAGAAATATTGTTAACAATTCTCTGTGAGGTTTATGGAATAAGCCAGTTATGGAAGTATCAGGACCCAAGGCCAACTGATGATAACAAGAAAGTGAGACAGTAGCCCGGTTACCTTGCTTTATCTTGCTTTCTTGTGCTAATCCCACATAACCAGTGGTGATCTGGGTGTACCACTTCCATGCCACCTTAGAAACGACTGCACTCAACCTATTATGCCACACTAACGAGTTCGTATCCTATGTTGAATGTGAAATTTACTCCTACAATAAGGTAACAGCCATAATGTCAACTCCCAGGAAATACAACAATTGTATTTTTAGTCCAGGCTTATTTGACCTCTAGTAATTAATCATGGACTCTGACATGGAAAAATTTTACATTAAGTGAAAGAAAATAAATGGGTTAGAGGAAATCAACTGAAACAACTGTTTTATAACACGCAGGAGGGTAATATTTTAAAATAGTCCATCTGTTGACAGGATATTGATACTTGGAAATTTCTGTGTATAAACTTAGCAGGGTTTTGGCCTTTTGTGTTGCAACTATGACCCTTACTGGCCAGAAAGTAGCCATGGAGGCAAAGGGAATACTGTTTAGATACTGACAATAAATGAGATAAAAATCCAATAGAAGGATTGCACATTGCAAGAAACAGAGTAGTTGATTTAGGATTGTATGTCATTTGGGCAATCGATTTCTCAATCTGTTTTTCACAAGAAGTTATTTGGTATTTTACAATTAACGTTTCTGACCAATGATGCTTGGAAAATGTTAGCTTCAATAGATTTGAGCAAGTTTCTTAACTGAAGGATTTTTCAGAGCCTGTAATACGCTAAGCAGCATTTTTAATGTCTAAGAAAGGATTTCAAGCATACAACCTATTTCTCTAACTTATTTGACCTTACAACATTTTTTGGTAAAATATCTTAAACAGTGCTCAGAATTACTAGTTTAACTAGTTCCATGCACTGTCATTGTGGCCAAAGAATTAATTTTTAATTCAGTCTTTCAAAATTTGTATAAGAGAATTTAGGTAAAGTAATTGTTTAGTATTGTAATTAGGGAAAATTCTTACCCAAAAGAAATTCTGCGCCTGGACTTACCATGGAAACCTCAGTCAGAATAAACAAAAGGGCCATATTTACCAGAGGGATATGGAGTGTCCTCTCCATGGGAACGGAGTGAACACCAAGGACATGGACCCTTCAGGTCTTTTGATCATACAAGGACAGCACTTCTTATCTCAAGTAATAAAGTACCTTACACAAATAAAATTCATTATTTTATGGTACAGCTACTTAAAATGCAATATTTTCACTGCTTTTATAGTCAAATGACTAAGCCTATCTTGGTGAGAACAACAGTAGTATTCTTTTTTACTTAGAATACCAAAAGATTATCTTTTCATTAAATATGGTCATCTTCCTTAAAAAATTCATTGAAAGATATGTATAGATCTGGTTGACTTGCAATACAAAGAAAAGTTAAATGCAACAGTTATTCCATCTGTCTGAATTAAAATGAAATCTGCAAATTCTGTAAAATGAGAGCATTAAAATTTGTTTCCTGTCATTGTGCCAACAACTAACAGGCTACTTCTGTTTTTAACATTAAATCTCCACAGAG